AGACGCATTTAGTTTGCGATATTACAACGGTAGAAAACCTAAGCGTAATAGTATTAGTGTTACCGAAGGCATATTTTGTAGTAGTGTTGTGACCTGCTTCGTCTTCCATATACAACCCCCTATAAACTTCGAATGCAGATAGATCAAGCAAGTCACCCCTAGTTGTACTCATGGATCTGCTCGAGATCCATGAAGTGTCGTAGGTAGACGACGTTTGTATAAGTGCCACAAAAATCGTAGTGTCAACAAAAGATAGGTATGATTTCAATGCATGCGATTTATGGAGTGCCACTTGCTTAACATCACCATCAGTCTCATGTGCTTTAAGGATCTCATCCTCATAGGTCATCTTCAGGAATTCAAATCTAGCATGAGCACCCTTGGTCCTATCCACATACTCCTTCGCCTCCCCTGAATCAGCCGCGAGATACTCTACCATTATCTTAATTGCCCTGTATTTAGTAATCCTCCCATGATCTAGGAATCTCCCCTTGATCGAAAGATGTAGCAAACACGAGACATCATCGAGTGTGATAGACACCTCACCATACGAGAGATGAATCAATGAGGTCTTTGAGTGCCGTCTCACCATAAATGCATTAATCATCCTGTGGTTGACCATAGTGTAATCGATCATGCACAAGTTCTTCAGGCTAGATAAGGGCAGAACCGTCTGAAACTAATCCTCTTCATACTGAGGCAATGCAACAATCTTTCTCTCGTGATTAAGAAACTTCTGGGGATCACGCTCTAAAATTTGTAAAAAAATAATCTATATCAAGAATAATGAATGTTAGAAATTATCAATGTCAACAATTAAAATTAACGTAAAAATAAAATAAAGAATCTAACTAATGCTACCTCTTAGTTTCAGATATGTCTGACAGTATGGTCTGGATACAGAGTTAGTAATGACAAATCAGCTAGACCTTCTCCAAAAGCCTCTAGATCAACATTCGTAGCGGCCTCACCCTCATGAGGTGGCACTATTAGCAACATCATCAGTAGGAGGTAGGACAAAAGGTGAGACTAGATCAACAATGTCATCTGTATGAGGTGACACTAGTGAAACCTGACGCATGCGGGAGAATGGGGGGAGTGATACCTTAGATGGTGAATCCCGTCTCTTACGGGAAAAAGAAAGTGGAGTGGCCTGAGGAGAAGCACGGGCCCCATAAGTAGACGACTCTGCCTGACCAGAGGAACTTGAAGCCTCTGAAACATGCTGGCTCTTCTCCTACTGAACGAATGCGAGCTGAGCAACCTTGCCATGCCTTAGTATGTCATGTCTACCAGCCATTATGCTTGTAAGTTAAAGTAAGACATACCATTAGTGCAGGCAAACAACACACAAGTAAGAAAATAAAAAAAATTAAACATTTAAATTATGTTAGATGTTATTTCTACTCATTTCTATTCATAATCATTGATTTCTACTCATTTCTAACCCTAACCATTAGTTTTTACTCATTTGCACTAAAACTTAAATATTTATCGAAAACTTGAAAAACATACTTGAAATTGATATTTTTGATGAAGTTGAATGATGTTATAGATGAAAATTGATGTTCCCTTGAGTTTCTTTGAGCCTTATTTGATAAATTTTGAGTTGGTGTAAAGTAGTGTATTGAGAGAGGTTGAGTTGAGTTTTAGAAAATTATAAAATGAGGAAAGAGAAGAGTCTGTAGCGAGTTATGCTCCAAATTGTTACGGAGATGCATCTTCGAAATATTTTAACGTTAACTTACATTTGGGTGCGTCCGACGATGTATCTCTGAAAATAAAAAAAACATTTGTGGAAATTTACATGGTGTAGTAGAAACACATAGAATGCCATAAAAAATTCTGAACATACATACATAATTAAAATTTTCCCTCCATTGCCCTCACCTACCCTCCTGTCTCTTTGATTGTATCAAATAGACTCTAAGGGTATGTTTGGATTGATGGAATGAAATAAAATGAGATGGGGTGGAATGTAATAAAATAAACTTAAATTTCATTGTTTGGATTAATTAAAAATGGATGGAATGATGCGGAAATTGATGAAATGCATTCCATCCCATTCCATCACTTTTCATCATTTTTTTGTACTTTCCAATTTGGACACAATGATAAAATTACTTTGTTCTGTATGAATTTGCAAAATATTTGATTATGAGATCTAAATTCATAATCAAATCTAAATCCACTTAAAATATCTGCATGGTTATTAAACAATTTAGTTATTAATGGTTGGTTATCCAAACATATTTTATTTTTGGATCCGGTTATAATCGGGTTATTATCCAAAATTCAAATGTTACAATTCAATTATAATCATTTTTTATTTTTGAATAAAAATTAAATATTTTTGAAAAAAACTAAAATGTTTTAGAAAAAAATTAAATATTTTTAAAAATAAATAATTCTTTTGAAAATTTCTTTAAATAAAAAAAACTACTTTTTTTGGAAAAAAAATATTTTTCAAAAAATTAAATTTTTTGAAAAATAAAATTAATTTTAAAAAAATAAAATAAATTCATTTAAAAATAATAGAATTTTAAATAAAAATGATACTATTTTTTCAAATTTATTAATTTTTTTTAAAAATTAATGTTTATAAAAATATTATTTAAAATCAAATTAAAAAAAAAAGGATTATATAATCTTAACTAAATTTATAATCAATTTTATAACAAATGTTATTTAAAATATCATTATAGTTATGAATACAAACTATTTAAATGATTTAAAAATAATTATGATTTGGTTTTTAAAAGTAATATATGACGAAGACCTCTACAGTCATAAAATACACAAATCTTTATCCGCTCTCCTCAGTACCTTTTACCGTATCCAAACAACATAGCCTAAGCTAAACCAAATAGAGATTTGGCAATCTAAACCTCTCTCACTTTTTCGCATCACAAGGAAGATGAAATCTATCAAATGCATCACCGAATTTTACCTCATCATCACCATCGAAACTCATCTTTCCGATGCTTAACCGCAACTCTGAAACCCTAACAACACTGTCTCGACTCTCACATCTCTTTTTCTCGCACCACCTCTCGCAGCTCTCACAAGCCATCAATTTAATCTCCTGATGTTATAAGCTGTCCATTTTTGTGAGTAATAGTGTCCTTCAATCTACTATCCATGAGATACATTTGTTCATTGTGATAGCAGGTTGTTATTAACTGTGGTAATAGATACTATTGAGTTATGTGTTTGAGTTTGATTGCTTTAATGGGATCAATTTTGTGCACCAAATTTTATATTTTACTCTGTTGCTACTTGTTACGGAGAATTTATATGTGAAATTATAATGGAATCCTAATTTAACATGTTTCCTGATGAAGTGTTGCCCAATGAATGTGTTTAGATGTATTCTTGGATGTTAGGTTAGGTTAGGTTCTATCCAAATGGCTAACATATTTTCATACAGCATGATAATAGAAGGCAATTCAATTTCAAGAGGAGTTCAATTGTATTTATAATTGAGATGGAAAAACCAATATAATTTTCTGTCAACTTTTTTTGTGCGGATAAAATAGCTATGTAATTTAGTTGACTTATGAAGCGATCCGATACGAAGGCATTGGGCTGCTGCAATTAAGAGAATGCAGCAGAGTGTGAATCGTCCCCCTTCACGGCGACTGTCTCTGCGTTTCTGCTTCTGCGGTTGCTCACAGCTTATTGGTACAGAAGGAGATGTTTTCGCACGGAAGAGAAAAGGGATGGATGGTAGGGAAGTTATTATCTGGACTAACTCCAGTCATGGTGTAACGGAATAAGGTGTAATTTGGAAAGGCTATAATGGCTTTCGCGTGACTTTTGCCATAGTTAAAGTAAATTACTGATCTGTTGTTTTCACATATTACTTCTAAACTGGGAGTTCCACAGCCCTCTCCTAAGGAAAATGAAGATTTGTTGTATACTATTTGGCAGGATTGTTCTATTGGAATAGAGCATGAAGGACGGTATGGCAAATCAAAGACAGACACAATTGTCATTATTGCAGAGGCAATCAAAATGATTAGTTGCTGGGAAGGAGGACGATTTACACTCCGCTGCATTCTATTAATTGCAGCAGCCCAATGCCTTCGTATCGGAGTCCTTCGTAAGTTTTAATGGTGGTAAATATTGAGACAAGTTGACATTAGTGAACCGATATTTATATGCCCTGCCTTGTAATGACAATGTTCTTTAGAATGAGCAACATTCAGGTTGTCCTGCACTGGTTTAGATAGAGAAAACCTTTAGTAATAAGAATTAGATTCAGAATAATTAAAGCCTGTATTATTATTATTATTATTATTATTATTATTATTATTATTACTATTATTATCTAATTCACCATTTTGCATTAGTTTCCACATCCACTTTAGCACATATTTGGATTAGCTTATTGATTATATTTAAATTGAATAGACCTTTTTTCAAGTTGTCTAATACATGAAATCACTTTGTTTTATTGATGAGTCGATTATTATGTGTTATGGACTATTGAAATGTGAAATGTGATTAACTTGAAATGCTAAATGGTTCACAGTTCAGAACTTGAAAAAAAAAGTAATACGATTCAATATTAGAATTAGAAAAAAATTCAAAAAGTAAAACGGTTCAGTACACCATAACAAATGGTTCAGTTTGAAAAAAAAAAGGTTTTTTAACGGTTAAGTACGGTTCGGAATTCCGAACTGGTATACCAAACCAGTAATTTGGTTCAGTTCAGTTCTTGACAAATTAGAACGGTTTGGTTTGGGTGACCTTTTGTTATGGTTCGGTTCAGTGTTTTTTTGGCTGAACTGTACCACGAACAATCCTAATTATTATTCTTGTTTTTTATTGTTTCAAGATTGGTTTGGTATTTTACTGGGCTGTATGTAAGATATATCTGTTTTATGGGATTGATTTATGGTGGCTTAGTTTTGTTTGCAGTTAACAAACGATCAGTTCCAGATCTAGAAGAAAACAAATTTGGTAAAGTGGTGCAAGGATAACTGAATTAAGGCATGGGATTCCAGATCTTTAACTTTTTAAAGTACTCTATGAAAGTGCTGGTGGTGATATTATTGCTGATATTTCTGACAACTGTAGCATACTCTTTTCCTTCATCCGAGACTACGATGCATACTAATAATTGGGCTGTTTTAGTCTGCACCTCTCGGTTTTGGTAAATTAAGTTTCATTCTTACTTTATAAAAAGAAATTACAACAATGTCTTGCTGTTTTTTGTGTTCTTGTTTTGTTGTTTTCTAATAACTCTGGCAACTCAGCATGGAATATAGATGGAATTTTACTGAATGTGTTGGTTCCATATTTCAGGTTTAATTATCGACATATGGCCAATACTTTATCATTGTATAGGTAATTATACAAGGTTAACCTTATTTTGAAATGTTTGAATTATGCTTGATAAGGATTTATTGTTCACTAGATTATTATTTTATATTATAAAATATTTCACATTCAGGACAGTTAAGCGGCTAGGAATACCTGATGAGAGGATTATACTCATGCTAGCAGATGACATGGCATGCAATGCAAGAAACAAGTATCCTGCCCAAGTTGTTAATAATGAAAACCATAGACTTAACCTGTACGGGGATAATGTGGAGGTGAGTTGCTAGGGTGCATTTTTGTCTATGGTTTTAGCGTGTGGCTGTGTGGCTATGAAGTGTTAATCTGCTCTTCTTCCTACTTTTACCCTTTGAAGAGTAATGTTACGTTGTTACTCACAAAGTATCAATCTCAACCCATTGACTGCAATTCCTCAGGTAGATTATCGTGGCTATGAAGTAAATGTGGAAAACTTTATGCGGGTACTAACAGGTCGTCATGAGACTGCTGTTCCGAGGTCGAAACGACTACTCAGTGATGAAGGAAGTCATATTCTTTTATACATGACAGGGCATGGAGGTGATGAGTTTTTAAAGTTTCAGGACTCGGAAGAGCTTCAAAGTCACGATTTAGCTGATGTTGTAAAGCAAATGAAAGAGAAACACCGGTACACATTTCTTATTCAATTGAGTTGTGAAAGGAAAATGAGAAAGCAATGAGAGAATTGTGTGTCAATCTGTAAAGTGCAGAGTTGGACACTCAACAGGACACAGACCAGTAAATAATATCCAAAACATAAGAAATTGTGAATCTAATATATAATTAACAGTTGATTAGTGTTACACCGCGCAATAACTTTTTACCGGATACATTTAAAACTTTTACCACCGGGTCGAATGCTTATATAATATAAATATTATATATCTTGGTAAGTTTTTAGGAAAATCTAAAATTGTTTGATGTTATTGAGGTGCATCAAGAATAACATCTTAAGTGCTTTTATTAAACAACATTAGACTAGAAGCATTTCCATGACAAAAAATGATTTTAGATTTCTGTAAAAATTTATCAAGATGATCTATATGATAAAAGCTTTAAAATTGAACGAAGAATATTTCAAAATGTTTATAATGAAAATCTGCAGTGTCAAAAAAAGCTGTTTGAAATAGCAGTTGACGTGTGCAAATAGGGGAAGTTACAAAATGGTTGAAACAAATCAACATGTATTAAAAAGTATGCGTTGCAGGCAAGAAGTCAAAGAACTAATCTTTCCCCATCATAATGTATATTGTTAGGTTTAAGGAGCTGCTGATAATGGTGGACACCTGCCAAGCCTCTACTCTGTTCTCACAGGTCTGATTATGCCACTACCTATTGATATATGTTATTAGGAAACTCACGTCAAACCTCATGAATTGTCACAAGCATAGATCTTCCCTTCATTTTCATAAAATGAACACTACCATTGTTAAAATTGGTTTTGCCTGTGTTTTAATACAGCCAATGTGTTTCTCATTGGATGGTTTTTATTGACTGATGTCCTATGGGGTTGTTATACAATTTGTTTGGGCGGGCTATAAGCAAGTCCATTATCAAATATTTACCTTCTGCATAAATGACGGTTACTCTGCTCTTAGTCATGAGCATACCCATATTAATTAAAATAGTCACAGCAAAATGAGATTTATAGATTTCCTACACTGTGTTATGGTTTTGGTTTATCTTAACTATAAATACTTTTCTCTGTCAATAGCCATGTTGTTTCATAATTGTTTTCCTAAAATTTATAATTGCTTATAGTGCAATAACAAGGTATTTTTTGTCTTGCTGATTATTCTTCCCTAAGTTTTGTTGCTTATGGGGCTCTTTGTTTTCTTATATTTACAGTTTCATTCACCGGGCGTTTTGGCAATTGGAAGTAGCATGAAAGGACAGAACTCATATTCACATCACTTGGACTCAGATGTATGTAAGAACATAGTAGTTATTGTGGTTATAGAAATATAGTGAGAGATTTAGTGAAGTAATGGTTTTAGATATAAAAAGGAGAGAAATAATAATAAGTTTGAATATTGTTGATAATTGTTTGATAGTAACTTGATATTTTATAATATTCTAAAGCTCCCCTCAAGCTAAAGCTTTTAGGTTGTTTACAAATATACCCTTAAAAAGAGTAAAGACATAAGTTGTTGAAGGCACGTGAGAGTGTGTAGCAGCAAGTATGTATGATCCTTGAGGGGATTAAGTACTGAAACCCGCAGCTCTCATAAAAGAGACTGAACCCAAAAAATTTCAGGCAGCAAGTCTTCAAACAGAGTTTACGGTTTCAGCAATTGATCTTGCAACCTGAGTTTGTCTTCTGGACCACCAAGAGATTAAATTCGGATACCAGCACCAGAGGTGGACCTCCTATCATCAACTTCAGAGGCCCAGTCAGCTTCACAGGAAGCCTTTAGCATATGGGAGAAACATTAAAGGCAGGTTGTAGAACCTGTCCAAAATCAGGTGTACCTTAGAGGTATTTCAAGATCCTTTTAACATAAGCCAAATGAGACTGCAATCATTGTGCTGCAAATTGGCACACCTTGTTCATAGGATAGCCAGTTTCTGGTCTGGCGACTGTGACATACTTCAGAGAAGACTTACAATTGACTGATATATGGCAGGATCTTCAACATGATCAGACCCAGATTTAGAAAGTCTGAGCTTTCTTGAAAGAGGTGTAGCCATTTGTAGTGGCCTGGACATTTCAGCCTTCGGCAGTATGTGTCTTGCATATTTGGGTTGAGACAGAGTTATAGACCCAGAGGAGGCGTGCTTTACTTAAATTCCATGAATGTAATCCAAGTCTCCCAACTGTTTAAAAGCAAACACTTGGAAATCAATTTTTGTACTAGATGCAGGGAGCTTCCTTTGTGATAATATCTTTGTCCACAGAAATTAAAGTATAGATTCAACAGCCATCTCTGTTATGCACCCGTAGGGAGCAATCACATTTGCTCTGCGGAAAAAGTTGATTAAGATTTCTGTTATGACATATATGCTCCAGCTTGAGGAGGAGTGTTAGGCCATGTTATTGTTCTTTAGCTGTACAGCATCCCTGATTCACGCTAACTAGGAGTAGAATTAAGTAATATGAACAACTAAATTTGTCTTTAGAGGTATATCTCATGTTCACTCCGATTCCAGAATAATAATACAAACAACTAAAATTGTTTTTTTTGTATATAATGCAGGTGGGTGTTTCAGTTGTTGACCGTTTTACATTCTACACTCTTGCGTTCTTTGAGAGGCTAAATATATATGACAATGCTTCATTGAGCAGGTACATGTAAAATATTTATAAGCTGCCTCAAGTTTAGTATTTTATCCTTATTATTAAGTTTCTATAAAGTATGTTCCTCTTTTTGCATGTTGTTTTGATTGAATTTTACTTTCCAAATAGTTCTTGCAGTATGTTTCTTTGGCTTGTAACAGGCCTATATTTGTTCATATTTTATATTCTTCGTATATGCACAGAACCTCTACTCTCGCTTATTTATTAAGAAAGTTTATAGTCAAGACTCGGACACACAGTAATAGTTTTGAAGTTATATCTGCAGTATATCAAGCCGTGGAGCATCATACTCTTTTTAAGGCTTGATTGATTAATCTTTCATTTTTGTCCTTTCTTTGCAGTCTTTTCAACTCATATAACCCAAATTTGTTGATGTCAACTGCATATTACCGAATGGACCTGTATCAACGACAGTTAGAGAAGGTAATAAAGATATGCACATACATTGAATCTTTTGCCCTTTTTTTTGGAAAATTTAATCTTTGTTTGTCTGGTGGAATCTTGTTTTGGTTAAATATGTTTGGAGGGATTATATGTATAACAAGAGCAGTTTCTTGCACAAATTTCTACTATTGTGAAACTGCATCATTTGAAGTTCAGTGATTTTCTTGGGTATCAGTATAAATTCTGTACATGTTTTCTTATAATGTAATGTTTGTCTCATATACCGAGGGTTTGAAAAATGTTTTGGGAAGAGAGACATAGACATAGACTTAGTAGGAGAAGGCTTGATCCTCGTAGCTATTGGATGTTCTCCGTGAATACATCCACGACTAGCGTAAAAAGGTAGGGGCTTAGGTGGTGATGTAAAAGAGAGATATGTAAGAAAATCAGAATGGTTTTTTATTTACCTCCATATAAAATATCTTATTATTGTATAGATCACATTTTTAAGTTACTACCTTAGTATCTTGATGGAACTTCAAACAAAATTTTATCACAATTATGCTTGTTGTTTACTGGCTTAAGATAAAGATAAAGATAAAATTTTAGCACCATTAGGTTGTTTTATTGTGTTTATGCTATTGTATGTTTTTCTCTTTCTGCTTGAGTAATTTGATTCATTTCAAAGGGAGGCTACCTTGGGCATTAGTTGTAGATCTTAGATTCAAGTCTTGAAATCAACCTCTTACATATGTAAGGTTGCCATAGATAGACCTGCAGTGGTCTCATACTATGATGGAGGCTTTATAGCACCAGGTCCTTTTACTTCCAATGAACAAGTTTTGGCAATATCTATATATATTGTCTACCAAGGTAGTCAAAATTAAGATTCTACTCAGAAACGAGCAAGGGTCCCAGGATTGTGTATGGATCATAAGATTCTACCAAAAACATAATTGATTAGTAGATAATATAAATAAAATTCAAGTAAGAATGTTAGTAAAATCAGAATTGTACAGTTATTTTTGCACAATCTGTTTCCCAAACCCCCTTTCAAATGATTTGAATTCAACTAATTTACATGGAATTTGGTTTTCCTTTAAACAAGGACTTCACTGTCAACTTCCCTCAATCCATCACTGCCTTGCATGTGCAAACCACAGGCTCAGCAAGCATCAGTCCATCTGTCGCCCCTTTTTGTGCCATGCATTAATATCTGATGCACATTTATTAAATGATGTTAATACTGACGAGTTCTTCTTCAATCACTTCTTTTTAGGTACCTGTGACAAACTTTTTTGGCTCTGTAATGAAAACAATACACACTAACTCAGCCTACAAGTCTCAGTCGAATAGAATTAAATTGTCTTTGGATCAATCAACCTCAGACAATGGCAGAAGAATTTTGAAAAGCTCTGATGATGATGAGGACCAATTTAATAAATTAAGTACAGAGGTGAATTGAACACATTCCTCAACAGAATTAGTTTACACAATTTCATCTAAAAATGAAACTCATGGAGACTGGATTTACTATGCAGGAACATTTCAACGGTGTTGGACAACTGTGGAATACTATTCTCAACAAAGTGAATACTTTTGAAAGCATTGATGCTTTTGTTTTCTATGGCCTTGTTTCAATGCTTCCTCTGATGATAGTTTCTACGTGGCTATCATCATAGATGACTACAACAATACTCTTTTATGGTTGCTTGCTTGCAGAGCAATTTCACTTGAAAAAGTAAATTATTAAGGACCATATTATATTAAAAAATTAACTTAAAGAAATGCTTGTATGTTTTGGTGATTGAATGTGCTCTAGATAGAAATTCAATATTTCAGAGGCAATTCATAAAAATGTTCTAATTCTTCAAGCCTTTCAAAGGCCAATTAAATATCCTAAGCGTTTGAGTTTCTTTCATTAATTTGTCTTCACAATTTGGATGATTGATTTTATTGAGGAAAAATAATCTTTTTTTATGGAATTTTAAATTATTCGATCAAAATTAGAATTGTTAAAATAATAAAAATCTAGGAAGTATTATATAAAAGTTAAATTTAAAGAGTTTCAAGTGAGACAAATTTTCATATCAAATTTGTTATAATTAATCTTCTAGAAAATTTTAAGTTCCTTCCAATATTTTTTAAACATTTCAAATTGACTCAATTTTTTTAAATTGCAAAATAATCTTTAAAAAAATTTAAAATTTACAAATTGATCTTTAAAATTTTTCAAATTTATAAATTGGTCTTTATTTTGAAAATTTAGATTTGGTTAAAGAGTATTTAAAATTTATATAAATGGTTTAAAAAAATTAATATGAATTTAATTGGTATGTACTATCCGCGATTAACTAATCACTCTTATATATTCTCTTACATTATATTTTAAATTTGACAAAAGTATTGTCTAGAACTTTTAAGTTATTATAGCAAATTAGTCATTTAATTTTTTTTTTAATGTTTTGGTCTTTTATGTTAAGTAACGTTTGTGTCGTTGAACTTTTTAAAAATTTCCGTTCTAAAAAAGTCTATGTGGCACAAATGGAGCACATGTGACATTTAACAGCGATATGTGTCATTTTATTTTATTATATATATATTTTAATTCCACGTGGATTTTAATATTTCTTTTAAATTTTTTTAATAAATTTTTTTAATTTTTTTTAATTGGAAGGACTTGATGGTTACATTTTAACATTTTAAAAGCATATGAGACGTGAGTGTTACAAATTAAAATATAATTGTTCTGGGGCCGGGACCTACCTCTCAGCCGGGCAAACCCAATCTAATACTATGCTGATGAGGTCCAACAAGGCCTAATTTCCTCTGTCGAGCAGGAGTCTTAACAAGGCACATCTGTTGGGCAGAAGACTCTCTTGACGGAGAAGCCCACACGCTTCCCCCACGTTCTCCACGTGTCCCCCACGCGGGGACACGTCATCAGGCAACTACCCACTTCCGAAAGAGATGGTCAACCCACCTTCCGAAGATCACAGGGCAGTTGATCTAGGGCGAAGACCACATACTGGTCTTCACTACGCCACGTAAGCCCTGACAGTTATTTGTGTTGGACTTGACAATTCGGTCCAATGCAATGTAACCGTTGGCCCTGCGTTGGAGGAACATTATAAATACTCTCTTTCACCAGAGGGTCAGGTATTCTATTTATCACATCTTCTTTTTGTACTTGCTCTCTCTAGTTCCAGTACTTACTTAAGCATCAGAGCATCTTGCAGGTACACCCCATTTTTTCCTCCGCAACTCCGGGGAAGACAATAACTCACGATGCGTGGCAGGTCACTGATTCTCTTTCTGATCGGGTAGATTAGTGGCGCCGTCTGTGGGAATCTTCTGCTTCCCCGTTCTTTCTCCTGTCCGAGCACAAAAGCTCAAGAACTAAAGCAAAATCAACCTTCAACTTCGATTCTAATTATGGTAAGCCCACGCAATAACAATGCTCCAGGATCCGCTTTTACCCTCTTCTCCAACGGGGACGACCACGATCCTTACACGACTGTCCACAACGAAGAAGGTGACCACAAGGACGGGCACACCGCCTCTCCCTCCTCAGAAGACGCAACTTTCAACGTCGTCCAACGCTTAGACAGCTCGGCTGTCTACCAGCCCATCCCAGTTCCAGCTGGCGCTGATCCTACCATGGTAGCTCTGTTCATGGTGATTAATCAGGCCAATTTAATGATCTTTGGGAAGAACGAGCGGATAGGGATGCTCGAGAGGGAACGACCATCACGCTCTCCCCTGCGGAGACACCACCGCCCAATTTCCCTCAGTCCATCCCTCCCCGCAGAGACACCGTCGCCCGGTTTCCATCAGTTCACCCCCTCCCCCGCGGAGGACGCGGTTCGTTGAGGAGTCACAAAGTCCCTCTCCCTTACCGACGGGGTGCCGTCCTCATTTGGAGCAACCTCAACAGCTGATTTCCCAAAAACGGGATATGTCGCCTCCCCGGAATAGCGTCGTTCCCCGACTCAAAAGAAGAAGGTCGTCAGGGTCCTTTCTAGACTGAGAAAACGACCAAGGAGCCCCCTGCGCCAAAACAGAAACCACCAGGAGTCAACTTCCCTCTCACTGTCTCCCATCAAGAGCGACGAAGACATCCAACACTCACCGCTCTGCAGAGCCATCAAGGAGGCCCCACTTCCCGTCATAATGGAAAAACCCTCGATCTTGACAACGCACGATGACACGACTGACCTGTACGACTAACGGAACGTACGAGGAGCTATCAAGTGCAGGCAATTTCCCACCACCCTGCGCAAGGGAGCCATGGTGTGGTACAAACGCCTCACGCCCGATTCCATCACCTTCTGGGGTGAACTGAAGCGATGGTTCTCTTGGCACTTCACGGATTCCTGGTGCCAGCCGAAGACAGAAGAGACCTTGAAAGCCATTATTCAGGGGAAGAACGAGTCTCACGGTTCCCACATAGCGTTTACTGCCAGTTTAACATTCCCCTGCACCAATGGATTGCGACGGTTATTTTGACAGGTTACGACGGTTAAAACCATCATTAATTACATTCTACGACGGTCGTAGTACCATCGCAGAAACGTGTTCCCTAGGCTGTTTAGCGACAGTTGCCAAAACCGCCACACCAACCGTCGTTATATTTTACGACGGGCTGGAACTGACCTAAATTGGAGATGGCGACGGTTAAAGACCGTCGTTACTAGCCTTTTGATTTTTGTTTTCATTGTTGATTGTGACGGTTTAAAACTGTCGTGAATTCTATTTCACAACTGGTTGGAACTGACATAAACTGGAAATGACAACAGTTACATACTGTCGTGAATATCCTTTTGATTTTTGTTACCATTGTTGATTGTGACGGTTTAAAACTGTCGTGAACTGTCGTGAATATCCTTTTGATTTTTGTTACCATTGTTGATTGTGACGGTTTAAAACTGTCGTGAATATGATATCTTGACAGTTCAAATCGTCGTAATTTAATTTATAAAATTTTAAACATAATTTATTTAGTAATTTTTACATTTAGCAACAGTTTAAATCATTATTAATTTGTATGTATTATATTATATTATTTTATGATACATTCTTTTATTTAAATTATTATTTACTAAAATAGTTATATGATTTTTTCATTTTATTTTCTATTGCTTTTTAACGTAGTAAAATTAATTTCAAAATTTATAAGCATTATAATATAAAAAAAAAAACGTGAGTTTCATAATCGTGTAAAATGAAAGTTTCATAATCATGTCATGTAATACAAAAAACCGAAAACATATCAAATCATAATCTTATAACAATAAGTATCATTATGCCAAAAATAAATAAGAAGGTTCATAATCTAGAAAGTATGTCATTATGGAAATCAGTAGTTAGACTCAAATGGACGTCTACCATCAGCCGGTGATTCCAATCTCTGAAAAAAAATTGTATTAAAATAATTCTCCTAAGCTTTAACTTTAAATTCATCAAAATAATATACCTATCTTCCACTAGAATTTTTCATTTGCATTAAGAGTTCAATTTTCTCTTTTATAACATTGTCTCTTTGCTTTAAGAATGTGACTGCCTCCATCAATTCATCAATTTTTGAATTAATTTCTTGTTGAATTTTCTTTATTTTTTCATTTTCAGCAGAATAAGATGTCGATCTTGTAGATCTATTAATATGAGATGGTGTAACTCCAAGTCCTATACTACAAACATATCCATGTTGTTCCTTTTCAAATACTTTCTAAAATGCCTCATTTTCAGACACAGAATTAATTACAGCTTGTAACTTTTCCTGCACATGAAAAAGAGTAAATTGAGCAAGCAAACTTAACTTAACTTTTCAATCTAACTAATAAAAAAATTTCTACGTTTTAAAGGGAAACAAACAATGATTATAAGCAAAAACTAATAAATTTGTATTGATGAAAAATATGTTTTAGTAATTTAAAATTTGGTTTAGCTAGTTAATCTATTTGTGATGTTAAATTTCAATTTCAGTCAGTTTTATTGGCTGCTCGAATTATTTAAAATTTCAATTTCAGTCAGTTTTATTGGCTGCTCGAATTATTTAAAATTTCAATTCTAGTATGCATTTGTGATGATAAATTTCAATTTCAATTCCAATAACATATTTGATTATGTAAAATTTGTATACATGTTAAACTTTTTTCTTTCTACTTGTATTTAGTTAAATTTTTACATTTTATTTCTATTTGTCAGAATAATTAGTTGACTTTATAAAGAGCACAATCTAAAATAATCACAATTCTCAATCTAATTTAACCAGTTTTTAGACAGGTTCTTCCCACATTTAAGAGATGTCAAAAGATTTGATTTTTTCTCATACCTTAAGGAGACTAACAATTATTTAAAAAGAACTAACTTGTACTTATATTATTATTGTATGCATCTTCACTAACAAAAGACCCGTCAGACTTTTTATGAAAAACTGCATACATTTCTCCTTTACTGTATGTTCGTTCATCTCTCGATTCCTACAAATAAGAACAAATATTAATTATTTTTATCATTAATAATACATTCAACTCTATATATATTTAGACATACCGACTCATGTTTTTTCCTTGCAAGTGACTTAAATCCAAGTGTATGTAGAGTCTTCAATTTTGCTCTAATTTAGATATTTTTTTATACTATTTTCTACATAATTAACAATTAAAAACACGTGTTATAG